GAGGCCGAATCTACTTTCATACTTACACCAAGACATTCTTTGTCATTTTCACTGTCATTCTTTCAAGTGGACAGTGGAATTTCCCAGAGGCTACACGAGATGTGTACAACAGACTGAATGCCAAAGCAGATTTGAGAATCTAGCTGTCTTCCATTAAGCCAGATTCTAGAGAGATTTGCAAAAATGTCACATAATGCCACTCTTCTCACAATTTTTGTTTTGAAGAAGCTATTTTTCATTTAAAAGGCTATATTTATATTAATCTGAAATGGGTTTATTAGTTTTAAATAAATTAATATTTTAAAGCTTTAATTTCTTTTTTTAAAATTGAATTTATTGGAGCAACACTGGTTAATAAATTATATAGGTTTCAGGTGTACAATTCTATAATACATCGCCTGTATATTGCATTGTGTTCACCACCCCAAGTCAAGTTAAAGCTTTAACCTCTAATCCAGTAAAACACATATAACCCACATAGGAAACCCTTTGTCATTTTTAAGAGTGTAAACAACTCGTGGGGCCAAAAATGTGGGAGCCACTGCTCTAGAGTGACCTGCTAGCTACCTATTGGCAAGCTGACCTCATTGCCCCCTTGTTTCATAAAAGGAATAGTTTTTGTTACCTCATGGTAATAAATATGTATTCCAGATATGGACTTCCTGCCTGCAATGCTTCTGCACCACCACTTCTGGACTTTCCAGAATACCTGATTCATCACGATGCTACCCGCACATGCCTATCTTCATTATAGGGTGAAGGGCATATGGCCTCCCCCCTGGAACACACTGGACTTACAATGTGGCCTGTCACTCAGAGCTGTTGACTGGACAGTCAGTACCAGCCGGGAGACACCACCTGCAAGCCTAGGTTATTGACGGCCAGGATGCAGTACATGCTTTAAATCTGGGGTGGGGAACCTTTCTTCTGCCAAGGGCCATGTGGATATTTATAACATCATTCGAGGGCCATACAAAATGATCAACTTAAAAATTAGCCTGCTATAGTTGGTCAAACATTTAATTAACTCACCCTTAATGCCCTGGTAGGGCCAGACGGAATGATTTCATGGGCCGGGCGTTCCCCACCCCTGCTTTAAACCAATGGCCAATATATGGCTCCACCTCTCTCACATCCAGAACACAGAGGCCCAGGGACCACGGGGTAGAGATGGGAGTGGCTCTTCTCACTATTTTTCCAAGTAACCTACTGGAGAAATTTTTGTTTTCCATCCCCTCAACTTTGTGTTCAGTGGGTCTGGAGTCCTTGGTGCCCAAAGGAGGAATGCTTACTTCCCCCAGGGAACACAGATATGGTTTCTTAAACTGGAAGGTCTTCCCACTGGTCTTTTGTTGTTATTGTTGTTAATCCTCACAAAAGGATATTTTTTCCATTGATTTTTCGAGAGAGTGGAAGGGAAGGAGGGAGGTGGGGGAGAGAGAGAGAAACATTGATGTGAGAGACACATCAATTGGTTGCCTCCTACACACACCCTGACCAGGGTTGGGGATCGAACCCACAACTCAAGTATGTGCCTTTGAGAATTGAACCTGTGACTCTTTGGTGCTGACGCTCTAACCACTGAAAAAAGCTGGTCAGGGCCCACTGGTCATTTTGAGCTTTGTATGTTACTGAATCAAAAGGCAGAGAGGGGTATCAACTGTACCAGAAAGGCTGGCTAATCTGGATGACCAGAAGGAAAATGGGGGCTGGGCAGGAAGGCTATGTCTGCATCCAGGATTTACTGGGTGCCTCTCAGATCTCCCAGTACAATTATGATAGTTATCAGGAAGCTTCACAACCAGACAAACCTTAGATCAATAAGAGCCCGAATTGCCTAGGAATAAAGGTTTAGGACACCCACCAGGTAAAGAACCCAATAAGTTAAAGTGCTGGCCACTGGTAAGAGGAACATGGAGGGGGTGGAAGGACGATGCATAATTGCTCACTTAGACCTGTGACCAGATACAGCAGGGACGCTACAGCAGGTTTTTGTTATTTCCTCCTCCTGTCTTATTGAAAGAGCCCCAGTGATGACTAAAGTTTTAAATTTGGCTCAAGGTGAGAATGACTGAAGGATAAAGATATGGTCAATGTGACAACAGGTCCTGTTGGAAATAAACTTTTTTTCCCTTCCATTTAAAAAAGCTGAGGTGAAACTCATCCTATATAATAAAAGGGTAATATGCAAATTGACCGAATGGCAGAACGACCAGTCGCTATGACATGCACCGACCACCAGTGGGCAGATGCTCAACACAGGAGCTGCTCCCTGGTGGTCAGTGCGCTCCTACAGGGGGAGCACCATTGAGCCAGAAGCCGGGCTCACGGCTCACAGCTGGCAAGCACAGTGGCAGTGGCAGCAGCACTAAGGATGTCCAACTGACGGCTTAGGCCCATGGCCTAAGCCGTCAGTTGGACATCCCCCGACTGCAAGAGGGCACAGGCCAGGCTGAGGGACCCCCACTGTGCATGAATTTCGTACACCAGGCCTCTAGTATAACATAAAGAGAACCATTTTAAAGTTGAAGAACCCAATAAGTTAAAGTGCTGGCCACTGGTAAGAGGAACATGGAGGGGGTGGAAGGACGATGCATAATTGCTCACTTAGACCTGTGACCAGATACAGCAGGGACGCTACAGCAGGTTTTTGTTATTTCCTCCTCCTGTCTTATTGAAAGAGCCCCAGTGATGACTAAAGTTTTAAATTTGGCTCAAGGTGAGAATGACTGAAGGATAAAGATATGGTCAATGTGACAACAGGTCCTGTTGGAAATAAACTTTTTTTCCCTTCCATTTAAAAAAGCTGAGGTGAAACTCATCCTATATAATAAAAGGGTAATATGCAAATTGACCGAATGGCAGAACGACCAGTCGCTATGACATGCACCGACCACCAGTGGGCAGATGCTCAACACAGGAGCTGCTCCCTGGTGGTCAGTGCGCTCCTACAGGGGGAGCACCATTGAGCCAGAAGCCGGGCTCATGGCTCACAGCTGGCAAGCACAGTGGCAGTGGCAGCAGCACTAAGGATGTCCAACTGACGGCTTAGGCCCATGGCCTAAGCCGTCAGTTGGACATCCCCCGAGGGTGCCCAGTTTTCTGCAAGAGGGCACAGGCCAGGCTGAGGGACCCCCACTGTGCATGAATTTCGTACACCAGGCCTCTAGTATAACATAAAGAGAACCATTTTAAAGTTAACAATCAGTGGCATTTAGTACCTTCACAAAGTTGTGCAAGCATCACCACAATCAATTTCCAAAACTTTTCATCACCCCAAATTGAAATTCTGTAGCCATCAGGACACGAGCTTTGCATCTAAAGGACCGAGTGGATGGTGGGGGACACAAGAAATTGCTCTGCTCGGATACCCTGCTCCCCTCTCACCCACTCTCCCCTTGCTCCACTTACTGGAAGCCTGACCCATGTGGATTGAATTCAGTGAAACAACTCAGAGGCCTTTCATTCTGGCTTCCAGCTGGGTCTGGCCAAGAAGAGGCCCCAGCAGGATCCAAGAATACTTGTCCGGTGGGCCCCTGCCTGGCAGGGGCTGCATTCTGCTCCCCAGGGCTGCGGCTCCAGCAGGGCAGCCCCCTCCCATGGTCACAGCTCTCTCCTTCACCCTTCAGGTATAGACGGCTCACAGCTGGCAAGCACAGTGGCAGTGGCAGCAGCACTAAGGATGTCCAACTGACGGTTTAGGCCCATGGCCTAAGCCGTCAGTTGGACATCCCCCGAGGGCGCCCAGACTGTGAGAGGGCACAGGCCAGGCTGAGGGACCGCCCCCCCCACTGTGCACGAATCTCGTGCACCAGGCCTCTAGTATAACATAAAGAGAACCATGTTAAAGTGAACAATCAGTGGCATTTAGTACCTTCACAAAGTTGTGCAAACATCACCACAATTGATTTCCAAAACTTTTTCATCACCCCAAATTGAAATTCTGTAGCCATTGGGACACGAGCTTTGCATCTAAAGGACAGAGTGGATGGTGGGGGACACAAGAAATTGCTCTGCTTGGATACCCTGCTCCCCTCTAAGCCCATTCTCCCCTTGCTCCACTTACTGGAAGCCTGACCCGTGTGGATTGAATTCAGTGAAACAACTCAGAGGCCTTTCCTTTTGGCTTCCAGCTGGGTCTGGCCAAGAAGAGGCCCCAGCAGGATCCAAGAATACTTGTCCGGTGGGCCCCTGCCTGGCAGGGGCTGCATTCTGCTCCCCAGGGCTGCGGCTCCAGCAGGGCAGCCCCCTCCCATGGTCACAGCTCTCTCCTTCACCCTTCAGGTATAGAGGTGGTAATGGCTTCCCGTAGTGTGAGCTCCCTGGGTACCCCCCTGGTGGGTCCCCTGCCCCTGCCCACACCCCTGTAAAGGATCCCTTAGTTGAAGGCTCTTCAGTATCCTTTGAGCATACCATCCGTTTCTTGGTGGGGCACCAACTGATAGAGAAATGGCATGGTCCCTCCCTACAGTCCTTGGCACTGAATACTTCTGATTTCATGGGTCAGATCAGCTCTGTACAGAGGCCCCAGGCTGGGCAAAGGGGACGCTTCCTGGACAGCCCAGGTTCCAACACCCTGACGCAGCCACACTGGTCTTCTTGTTAGATCCTAGGGTGCTGGCTGTGCAGCTCCCAGTCAGAACACTGGGGAACACTCTAAAACAGTCTTCACCTGTTAACCTCAGCTTGTTCTTAGGATATCACTTAGGAGAGTCCTCCTCACCACTCCGCCTTTCATTCACAAACACATTGGGTTTCCCTGGTTTATATGAATATTTGATGAATCTGCTCTCCCCAAGGCTGAAGGCACCTGGGGGCCGGGAGCGCTCTGCTCTGCTCACGGCTGTGTCCCTGAAGCCTGGCACGCAGTCACAACCACAGCAGCAGCTGAGGGGGGACTAAGTGTTTCTCTGTGCCAGCCGCTGAGCTAAGCCTTTCAGGTCCCCAGGCCACCCTCTGCCCCAAAGTCCCCTGTTCCCAGGAAACAGCCCTCGACTCTATTAAAAACTCATATGGATTTATTAGAATATGAAAAAATTTTGGTTTCTTCTGTACAGGCGGCAGAGCAGCAGCAGCTGTGGTGGCTTTGAACATGGTTGTCACGTCACCCTTGCATGGTGACTCCTGCCCAAAACAGCACTTGCATGGAGGGGGGACAGATGAGCACCCGCTGCCCAGTCCACTGGGAAGAGGGACTCTGACTATTGCACGATCCTGGGGGAGTGACCGGGGAGGACAGACACCACTCCCCCTGGGCCTGGCCATGGTAGCAGTGGGGATGGGAGTGTGTGCCTGTGAGCAAAGGCCCCTGGGAGCCTAGGACTCTGCCCCCCACCAGCCCCAGCTGGGTGGGCGATGCTCAGGGGAGGTCTGCTCCCCTGAGGTCTGGGCTCCACAGCCAGCTGGGTGCGGGGAACCTAAGAGGGAGAGGTTCCTGGGGCCGATGGGAGGGATGAGAGAAAGAACAGGCCAGCAGGACTGAGGTGCAGGCCCAAGAACAAAGGACCAGACGGCCCAGCATCTGTGAGTGGGAGAGGACCATGATTGGATATGGGGGTTCACTTCTGAAATCAGGGTCTTGGGGCCACAGTTACGGGTCCAGGAGGCAGAGGACCGACTTGGGGAGTGTTGGGCAGATAGGCCCAAATGAGGGGGATTCTCTGGAGGAGGGCCATGCAGGTCAGGAAGGAGGAGGGGAGGCCCCCCAGCTCCCAGCAGCCCCTGCTCTGGTGGGAGAGTCTGTGGTGGGACAGGCATGGCCAGGGGCTTTGAAAATGTTTTACAAACAGGAATGGCCTCTGTGCAAACAGATCATACATGGAAGTGGGACAAACAAAACAGATAAAAAGGCAGCACTGTCTGGAGCCCCTGATGGCCCCTCTCCTGACACCAGCCGCCGAGCGCTCAGTGGTCCCTGTGGGAGCAATCTGGAAAGCTGTTACTCACGGTCCAAGGCGCCCCAGCTCCACACAGAGCAGCTCAGGGGTGCAGCTCTGAGAAAGGGCGTGTCAGGGTCGCTGGCCAGGATGACAAAGCTGGCAGGAGGGTGGGTCAGATATCTGCTCCCCCTCACCTTTCCTCCGTTAATGAAGGGCCTGGCCTAGGCCAAGAGAGGCCTGGGCTCCTTCCCTTCCCAGGTGGGACCCAGGCTGAGCCAGAGGCTCTTTGGTTAGAAACTAAGACTGGTTTGCATGAGGAGGGTGGTGGAGGAGGAGGGGGCACCGAGGTCCGGGAAACTCGGAGGCCCTCCTCTGGGGATGGGAGAGAGCCGGACAGGAAGGGGCAGGGTCTGCTCACAGCCCAGCAGTTCTGCCGAATGGATGGGGAAGGCAGTTCTGGTGGTGGTGGCGGGGGGTGCTTCCCAGGAGGCAGGGGGAAGCCGTGCTGGGCCCAGCTGCCATGCAGGTCAGGAAGGAGGAGGGGAGGCCCCCCAGCTCCCAGCAGCCCCTGCTCTGGTGGGAGAGTCTTTGGTGGGACAGGCATGGCCCACTGGCCCCAGCGCTACTGCCCCTTGGGGATGAAAGGCTCTCCCTCCCCAGGCTCAGGGTGGGGGCCTGGGTCGCTGAGGCAGCGCTGTATCCTCTGGGAGTTGGGGCTGTCACTGGGCCCAGAGGTGAAGACATCGTCAGTGCCGGGGGAAGAGGGCTCCTTGGTCCGTATCATGATGCCCCCGTCATCATCATCCTCATCGGCCACCCTGGGGTCCCGGTTCAGCCCGAGGATCTTGCCCTTCAGCTCCTCATTCACCAGGTCCACAGACTCGGGCGACTGCGGGGAGGCGGGGTCGATGGTGATGACTGGCAAGTCAGCCTTCGGCTCATAGGCCAGCGGGTCTGGGGACCAAGAACAAGGCACAGTTGGCTTCTGCCCCTGAGCCCTGCCCAGCATGCGCCCAAACTCTCCCGTGCCAGCCGCTCCCACAGAGCCCCTGCGAGGGCAGCAATCCTGGTGTCTCGGAATTACTCCTCGTGGGCCTTTATGAACCCTCATCAGATAGTCTATCATCCCCTGTCTGGGACCTCAAAGGCAGGACTGTGTTCCTCTCCTCACACCCAGGGCTCCCATGCATGTTCCCCGTCAGACCAAGAATTAGGGCTCCTTTCCGAGTCACTGACACCCCAGGGACCCAGGCCTAAGAGAAGGTCCGCCCTCGCTTCCTCCACTTGGTGATCCCAATGGTACAGACGCCTCCTGCCCCCCTGCCAGGCACCAGCTCCCCGCAGACCTCACCGTCAGCCCACGTGGAGCACCTCTGTCCCTGGGGGAGGAGGGGGGAGGGCAGCAAGGCCATCTCCTGCCTCCACTGGATGTAGGAGGAGCTCAAGACTTGGGAGGAGGTCAGTGAAGGATAAGCCGTCCTCCCCGCTGGCTCTGGGAGGCCCTGAGCGCCCAGCCGCCAGGCCCCTCGCCAGGCACCCTGGGCCCTGCCTTACCTGAGCCGATGCGGGCCCGAGACATGGTGGGCGAGTCCAGTTTGTGGGCCGGCACTGTCAGGTAGTTGTTGATCTGACAGAAAGAGCAGACAGGTGTGAGCTCAGGCAACCCCTCTAATGGCCCTGGAGGCTGCTGGCCACAGGCGTGCTTGGGCACCCGCTCCCTCCTGGCAATTCCGCATCAGGCTGTGCCACACTGGCACTTCAGGGGTTCCTGAGGGCTTGGCCCAGGCTCCCCTCAAGCTATGCAATCTCCTGGGTGGCCCTGAACCTCCTGCGCTGCCCTGCCTTCCCCATGGTGCCACTGTCCCGGTCTAGCTCCAGCCACACCTACCCGCGAGGTACAGATCCATAAAGTCAACTCAGGAGTGGACACCCGGGTCCTGGATGGCCCCCAGGCATCTCAATGCAACATGTTTGAGATGAACTCAGCTTCTTACCTCCCCTCATAACCTTGTTCCTTTCTTGGCTGTCACAGCCACCACTCCCACCTACCCCAATCAGAAGGCTAGACGTGACCCCTGACTCCTCTTCCTCTTCCTTCAGCCCACCTCAAACTGATGACCAAGTCTTACTAGTTCCCCCTCCTAAATGCCCCTTGACCCTGGCTGGTGTTGCTCAGTGGTTGAACCTTGACCTATGAACCAAGAGATCCCTGGTTTGATTCCCCATCAGGGCACATGTCCGGGCTGCAACTTGATCCCCAGTAGGGGGCATGCAGGAGGCAGCCGATCGATGTTTCTCTCTCATTGATGTTTCTGTCCCTCTTCCCCTCTCCCCTCCCCTCTCTCTAAACGTCAATAAAAACATATTAAAAAATAAATAAATGTCCTTGAATCTACCCACTCCTTTCCATCTCCCCCTGCCACCATCCTAATCTGGGTTGCCTCCACCCCTCCCCACGTCACTCCCTTACACAGAACTCTTCATGGCTCTCCATACTTGTAGAATAAAGCCCAAACCGTACTCCATTAACAACCTTCCTTGAAAGCTGAACCCTGTTTTCTTTTTAAAATATTATTTAAAATTTTTTTTTACATTTTTATTGATTTCAGAGAGGAAGGGAGGGGAGAGCTAGAAACATCAATGATGAGAGAGAACCATTGATTGGCTACCTCCTGCACACCCCCTACTAGGGATCGAGCCCGAAACCTGGGCATGTGCCCCTGACTGGAATCGAACCTGGGACCCTTCAGTCCACAGGCCAACACTCTATCCACTGAGCCAAACCAGCTAGGGCTGAACCCTCTGTTTCTAGAATGGGCCACATTCTGTGATTGGGAACTTATACACTTGTTCTTCCTTTGCCCACACTCCCCCCATCGTGGCTCTGATTCCTAAGCTTACCCCACGCCCTCCCTCAAGGCCCCTTGCACTTCCTGTCCTACATGGGCCTCTGATGAGAAGTTTCGTAAGGGAGGGACTGGGCTGACTCACTCGGATTCACAGAGGCTTAGCACTTAAAGGCCGCTCAACAAATGTTTCCTAAATGAATGAACGAATGAATGAATGAGGTGTGCCTTCCTTTGTGATTTGGGGCACCTGTCTTTTCCCTGGGCCTTAGTTTTCTCACAAGAAAAAGAGGAGTCAAAGCACAGATGCCTGAGGATATGAAGAGGGGCCTGGACTCTTCACTGCTCCTGGCGGGGAGGAAGGCTTTCTGGAACCTGCCCTGGGCTCAGCTTTCAGCTTTCGAAACAGGTGGAGAAGGCAAAGAAACAACACCCCCAGATCAGAGTGTCCTATCTGCAAAAGGGCTTAGTGACGAGGATGCAGGAAGAGGAAGAGCCCAGAGAAAGGAAGGAGCCACTCCAGTCCTGGACACACCCTCTGTTCCAATTGCCGGGCCTTCTGTCTCCGGAGCAGCATCTGGTTCCAGGCCTCCTCGTAGGGGTCTGCCACCAGTGTGTGTCTGTTGTAAGACCGCAGCTGCGGAAGGAACAGCCGTCAGGCAGGGCAGGCCCCGGACATGTGTGGGGCAGGGCTGGAGCCGCCGGGGGGCAGAGGGGCTCCTGTCCTGAAGGGGGGTGGGCGGGAGCAGCCCCTCACCCGCTGCCTGGTCTTCTGCAAGTTGTTCCTCAGGATTTTGCGAATCTCCTCCTCCTTGTCCTTGGAGAGTGCTGGCAGGATGCGCTCAGCAGGCAGGTTCTTGGGGTGGATGTTCCTGGGACAACACGACACAGGTTAGGTCCCCAAGAAAGTTCCTGTGACCCTGGAGCCTTCCGGGCTGGGCCAGAAGAAAGTCACTCAGGGGAAGGCCTGGGTGGGTGGGCAGAGCCTCGGGTCCTCAGTGTGACCCTGCAGCTCTCACCAGCCCTGGCAGGATGAGAGGGGCCTTGCTCACCGCCCCCAGCCCCAGCGTGGCCTGCTCCAGGTTGGTGTGGAGGGGTTAGTGCGGGTGCAGAACCTGCCAGGTTGGCCACTAGCACTCACTGCATGGAGACGGTGGAGACAGCAGAGGGGATCTTGCCTATGCCACCACTTTCCACCAGCTCAATAGCCTGCTTCATCTCCATCTTGTGGTAGAAAGCGATGAGCTGGGGCTCCTTGGAGCGCTCGCCGGCTATCAGGCACTTCTTCACATACTTCTTGTTAAACCGGTTGAGCCTGGGGGGAGAAGGGAAAAGGTGGATGGAGCCAGCTCCTCAGGGTGGGGTGACACCCAGGCCCTGGGAGACCCTTACCTGCCCCTCCCCACCCACGTACCCACCAGGCCTGCCACCTACTTGTCCTTCCAGTGGTGGTGGCCGTAGTGGCCACAGATGTCCTCGATGCCTGTCAGAAGGTGGTCCAGGAACTGAAACGGGCCCAGGGCCAGGTCAAGTCTCACTACTGGGCTCTTTCCCTACCAAGACTTCTGAGGAGGCCCCCCCACCTTCAAAACTAGTGCTTCTCTGCTCAGATTAGCCCTGTAGTTCCAGAAGCAGCCAGGAGGTGGTGCCCATACCGCACTCATCCTGAACCCCAGTGGCACCTCAAACCCTCTGCCGCTGGGGCATGGCTGAACTCCCTTCTCTGAACCCCCCTGGGCCTGAGGCTCCCTCCTCAGGCTCCCAGCTGCTCATACTACACCTCCCTTTGACCTGTGACCTCAAGAGGCTTAAGGACCACCTGGTCCTGGGATAAGGGCCAAGGCATGGACTCAAGGACTAGCTACTCCCCAAACTTTCTCTGCAGCCAAGGGCCCAGCTTCCAGTACCTGCGTGTGGATCTCCTCGTTGATGGAGCGCTTCGTTTCTTGCTTTTTCTTCACAGCCAGAAGGTCTACCAGGGGCCGAATGGTCATACCCTAGGGGGCAGGTGGGTGTCAGGCCTCCATGCAGCCTCCCAGCTCCCCGGGGCCCCCTGAGGCTGGCATGCCCTCTGCTCCAAGGCCCCCAAGATTTCAACCTCCATGTGAGCATTTCTATAAAGGCAGGTCCCCAAGGCCTGCTCTTCCTGAAGACAGCCAGAGGTCTGAGAGCCCACCCAGCCACATGACTCACACTGGTCATCTAGCCCAGGCCAGGGGTCGAGGGCCTGGGGTGAAGTGTGGGCTTCACCACAGGCATGTTCTGCAGCCTCAAGAAGGCTAATGGGAGGACGACCTGGGCGCTGCCTCCCTGGCAGGACTGTGGCCGAGGGGCACCAAGTGGTGGCAGCAGCAGCTAAGTGAACTGCACGCTGCCTGTGCCAGAGCCGGCTGTTTTACTAGGATTAGCTCCTTAACACCTACAGCAACCGTAAGAGGGAGGTTCCTTCACTCTCCCCATTTCACAGATGAGGAAACTGAAGTTCAGGGGTTAAGTAACTTTCTAAGGTCTCACAGAAGTAGTAGAGCTGGATTCAAACCACCTCAATGCTGCTTTCATTGAAGATGGACTTGATAAGCCATTAGCATATACAACTGCAAAGGGAAGGTGATAAAATATTTTTGAGATGTAAGCAGGGCAAGAGGACAAAAGAGGCAGCCCCGTCTCCTCTTATATCAGGAAATAAGTGCCACCCCAAGGCTTCCTCTACATTAGTGATTCCCAAAGTGGGCGCTACCGCCTCCCGGTGGGCGCTGCAGCGATCCAGGGGGGCGGTGATGGCCACAGGCGCATTTGGGGGCGATGAGTAACTGCTATTAAAATTAAAAAAAAATTAATTTCCAGGGGCTGAGTAATATTTTTTCTGGAAAGGGGGCGGTAGGCCAAATAAGTTTGGGAACCACTGCTCTACATTTTCTCCTCCTGGGCAGGCAATGATGCTTGCCAGGATTCGTGTCCCAGGAAGACGGAGGGGATGGCAGGGTCTCGGAGGCCCAGACAGTATTTCCTCACTTGTCCATGGTTACAGGTCAGGTAAGGTGGATGCACACCATCCCAGGCTGGGCTTGCTTGGGGACTAGAAGCAGGGTCGGGGGAGGGCTCTCAGCTAAGCCTGGGTCATTCAAATGACAGAAATCACTGCCCAGCAAGCGGGAAGGATTCTTCAGGATCGTCTAGTCCAGTCCCCTCACTTCAACGATGGGGAACTGAGAGCCAGAAATGGGAGGAGGGTCTTTCCCAGGGTCACGCAGACAGCAGCAGAGCTTGGGCTGACTCCAGACCTCCTGCTGCCTGGCTCAGCAACCTTTCCAATTCCCTGTGTTCCCATTTTACAGATGCAGAAACTGAGACCCTGAGATATTAAGTCACTTTCCTAAAGCCCTATAATGGGCATCGTGGGCCTGCTAACTGTCCCTACTTCTCTCCCACTGGGTTCCTAAGTTAGGCAGCATTCTCACTCCTTTATACTCCAATCGGTCACTTCACAATGACTCATCACAATTCCCCCTTAACAACTGAGGAAACTGAAGCCCAGAAAGGAGGAGTGGCTTGCCCAAGGTTGTGAAGCAAGTTATTGGTGGAGCTGGGACTAGAACCCGTGGCCCCCTCTTGGGTCACATGCTTCCTCTTTCCACTGGCAGAGTCGGGTCCCTGGGCAGGGCTGCTCCACCCTGTCCAGCACCTGCACAAACACGGTGAAGAAGATGACGGTGATGATGGCGGTGAGGAACAGGTCGCACATGGGGAAGTGCTTCTTGTCCAGGAGGTAGCCCAGGGAGAAGGCGATGGCCCCTCGCAGGCCCCCGTAGGCGATGATGAACTGGTCCTTGGGCGTCAGCTTCACGATGCGGAACTTGTTGATGAACCAGGTCAGGCCCAGCACACCTGTCAGGGGGGAGGAAGAAGAGGGGTCAGCTGTCTCCAGCCCCTCCTGGCTTCCTCTGTCTGCAGGAAGCCTCCACTGGTAAGCCCCACCCAGTCCACTCATTTCCTGGGCCCCTCAGCCCAGGGCACTCTGACTCTCTCAATCCAAGAGCTGGGTGGATTCTTAAAGGGCCCCCCAACCTGGATGTACTGTAGAGACATCAAAGAGGCCTCCAGTGGCCAAAGGTTGGGAGGAGGATGGGAAAGAGATGAAACAGGGTGAAACCTATTAAATAAATATGATGGGTATATGGGGTCTACTTTTCTCTGGTTTGAGATTTTCCATAATAAAAAATTACACAATGCAGAGGTCTGGGTCCAACCTCAACCCTCAGAGTCTGTGGAGGACGAAGCAGTGGACTAAGGGTTTTAAACAGTGCACCAGGGAACCGTGACGCCCTGTCAGGTTCAAGACCACGGGCCTAACCGCGGAGCGGAGTCAGTGAGATGCAGGGTGAGGAAGCAGCAGTTGCCGAGGGAGGTGTGTCTGGAAAGTGTAAGCACCCGAGGGCCCGAGGCCCGGCCCGTGTGCAGCCCCAGTGGCAGCGCAGGTTGCAGGAGCTGCACGCAGCTTTGCAAGTGCTGAAGTCATCTGCGCCATGGGACAGCACGGGGACACTCACGGCCCCGCGGTGTGTGCCTTAGTTCCTTCCTCAGATCCAACAGGCCCAGAACCGCAGGGTCCCTGAGGCCCCTCCACTCCGACACACCCTGACTGTCTCCCCAGAGATCAGACTTGTTCCCCAAGGGCCCAGCACAGCCTCAGCATTGCGGAGAGGAGGACTGGGGAAGCCCTGCCGTCCGGCTGTGCTGGGAACAGCCAGGCACCAACCCTGGCCCCTACACACGCACACACACTAACACACATACACACGCACGCACTAACACACACGCACGCACGCACACACACACACACACACCTCCCCTGGCTCCGGCCCGGGGACCTCACCCAGCACTCGGGCGATGAGGCAGAAGAGCAGGGTGCTGATGACAAAGGTCCAGTTCCAGTGGTGGGAGCCGGCCACGGTGGAGACGCCAAGGAAGATGAAGATGAGGGTCTCACTGACACTGCTCCACATCTTCAGAAAATACTTGATGGTTGTGTGGGACTTGTGGGAGATGTTGGCCTCCACGTAGGGGCGCATCACCACTCCCGAGGCAATGAGTCTGAGGGTGGGGAAGAGCAGGGCTCAGGGTTCGGAGCCGAGCTGCACCCTCCCAGAGCCCCTCTGCTGCCGGAGGCTGACAGCGGTCTGTTGACTGAGCCCCTCTTATGGGCTTTCCACACCCGCTCTCTCAATCCTCCTAACCCTGCATATTCTTGTACTTTGTAAGATGAGGGAAACTAAGTCGCCTGCCCACTGTCACACGGCGGGCGAGTGACAGAGCTAAGACACAAACTAAGGTCTGACCAACTCCAAAGCCTGTGCCTTGTCCCCGATGCCACACTGCCTCTCTGCCTGCCTAACAGGCATCAGTGACACCTGTCCGTGGTTGGGGTTTATTCCCACACCCGGGCTCCACTGGCCCAGCTTTCTCCCTCTCACCCCGAATCCCGGAGTCCAGCTCCACCTCTGCACTTCCAAAGTCCTCCCCTACTGGGAACACCTCGGCATCTCCCTGTCTCTGACTTCAAGACCCAGCTGAGGCCTCAGGACCTCCAGGACTCCTCCCTTCAATTGCAGCCCTGAGCCTCCTGGCTGGGGCTGCTGAGGGGAACAGCTACAACCAAGGGGCTTCCTTTGAGACAAATAAGGGGAAAAAGTAGCAAGGCTGGACTTCCCAGAACTTTAAAGTCAGTGCTTCCAGGGGTGGTCCCAGGGCCTGGAGCTCCATCTCCTCCCTGGAGTTGGAGGCTGAGCCCTGGGGAGCTCCCCTGTGACCCTACGAGCCCAGGGAATCCAAGTGGGGGGCCTCCCCGTGCCACGCCCAGACTCACGCCATGATGCCCGACAGGTGGAAGAGCTCAGCGGACAGGTAGGCCATGTAGCTGTAGAGGAAGACGAAGAGCGGCTCGATGACACGAATGTGGGCAGTGAATCGGGAGGTGAAGGCGGCGATGACCCCGTAGACCACGCCCACAAAGACCCCGCCCAGGGACACCACGAAGAAGCTCAGGAAGCCGAGGACGATGTCCACGATGCCCACGCGGTCATAGTTGGCAAACTCCTCAAAGAGGTGATACAGGACCTGCAGAAGGTAAGAGGCTGGTCGGCAGGAGGGCGGGGTCCTGCCCCAAGGCTCCCTGGGGTCGGACCAGTGTGACCCCATCCCCTCCATGACCACGGCCACAAGAAGAGGCCACATGGTAACAGAGAAACCCTCGTGCCAACAGGTGCTCAGAGGACCTTGCTTGGGCCCTGCCGTGCCCAGCTGGTTATGAGGGGGGCTCTGAGGCCCAACTCTGGGCTGGGCTCGGGCTCTGCTGCTCCCTAGAGGAGTCACGAGGCAGACTGTTCAGTCTCCCGGTGCTCGTTTTCCTCTCTACAAAGTGGGGTAATAGGACCAACCTCACAGGGCTGCTGTGAGGGCTAAACTAGTTAATAAAGGCAGAATGCCCAGATCCGCGCCAGTGACGGGTGAGCTGCGCCTGGCACTGCTCGGTGGGCCTCTCACTGTGTGATTTGGGCAGGTCAGGACCCTCCTTCAGCATAAAGCAGGGCGGGTTCAGACAATGAACTACAACAGGACTTCTTAACCTCTGACACTTTCTGAACATACATATGGCCGGGCCGTACCCTGCCTGGACTCTCCGCCGGGGGTGGGGTGCGGGGGTGGGGAGTGGGCGGATAGAAATCTCTACTCAACAAGCTTCGCAGGTGGTGGTGATGAACAGCCACGTTCAGATGCTACGAATGAGAGGTTCTCTAAGGCAGCCCCACCTCCTGGACTGGGAAATGAACAGTCGCTGTAACACTTTGGTCAGATGTCCAAGTGGCACTTCACACTGTGGAGCCCTTTGCCGGTGGTCACCCTGCTTGACCCACAACAGCCCTACGAGGCAGGTGGGCCACGGGTGCCTGCCCCCTCGCTAACGGGGGCTCAGAGCGGCCCAAGCCCGGGGGCAGCAGAACCGGGCCCAGAACTAGTTCCCTAGCAGGTTCAGCTTTGAGGTTCTGCCCCCTCTCAGGTGCTGCCTCCCTGACCTGTTCCTAGACAGGTGCCAGGAGACCAGCTAGGAAGTTTCCAGACAAGGGGGCTGCGAGGGGACCCTCCAAAGCTCCTAGTACCTGGACAGCACCTGGAGGCAGGGAGGGGGTGGGGACTTGCTCTGAGACCCAGCAGCTCAGAGGCAGCCTTCAGGTTTACTGTCTGGGAATCGAGGCACTCACGTCACACCCAGAGCTCCAGAAAGGGCCCAAGCCGGGAGTCAGGGCAGGTCAGCAGCAGACGGCAGGTACGTTCTCAGCCCCGGGCTACCTAACCTCCCTCCCAGCCTGGAGCTCTTCATGGTCCTCAGGGTATACTGCCGGGGCCAATGGGGTGGGTGGAGAGGACAAGGTCCTCCTTTCCGGCCTGGCATCACTGCCACTGGGACTAGGGAGGCGGTGGAGCATAGTGGTAAGCACCTGGGCTCTGGACTCAGACTGTAGATTTGAACCTTGGCCACATCCCTTATCAGAGAATGTGACCTTGGATGAGTTAGGTGACCTCTCAGTGCCTAAGTTTCCTCAGTAAAAAAACGGGCAGAGCCCAGCCGGCGTGGCTCAGTGGCTGAGCATTGACCTATGAACTAGGAGGTGAAGGTTCGATTCCCAGTCAGGGCACACGCCCAGGTTGCGGGCTGAGCATTGACCTATGAACTAGGAGGTGAAGGTTCGATTCCCAGTCAGGGCACACGCTCAGGTTGCGGGCTTGATCCCCAGTGTGGGGCACGCATGAGGCAGCCAATCAATGATTTTCTCTCATCGTTGATGTTGCTCTCTCTCGCTCCCTCTCTGAAAAAAAAAATTGAAAAAAAAATTTTTTTAATGGGCATAACAACAGTGCCCACCTCATGTTTCTGTGCAGATCAGATGAGGCAATGCATATTCAGACAGGAAGTGCTCAATGAACACCAGCGGTTACTACCAGCACTGCCACTGCTGTGGTGAGGCGTGGCATGGGCCCGAGGTGGCCAGACTGAGGTGTCTACCCGACACAACCACGCCCCACTTGCTCCCTGGTAGTGCCAACCCAACACCCAGACCCAATGGGAGGACTTCATGTTTGGCACCCAGTGGTTTCAGACATTCGTGAGTGGGACTCCTGTAAGAACCCTGCAACCCCTGTTGCAGATGGAGAAACAGGCTCATGTGGTGACTCCGGGCGAGAGGGGTTGCTAAAAGAGGCCAGGACCACGGCCTGCCTGCTCACGCCAGGCTGCTGCTCTGCCAGCCTCATGAAGAGCGAGGAGGGGGTGGGGAAGGAGAGGAAGTCAAGGCTGTCAGCAGCCGACCACCACTGCCTGCCTCTTTTTTGAGGCGCAGCTTCCTGAGGGGCTGGAGGTGGAGGAGAGGGGGTGCATGTGCAAGCATGCAGGGGTGCACACGTGCCCTTGTGTTTTCCTGTGTGCGCAGCTACTGAGGGGTCCATCTGGCAGGGGGGATGTTTTCACAACACGATGTGAGTTGCACATACACGTATCTGTTTCCTGAGGAAACTGGCTGGGAGGAAGGTACGTGCAAGCATACAGAGCTGCTGTGTGCAGACCCTGCTTCGGGGCTGTCCGTTCTCACTAGACCCTGGGAGGGAAGCACTAACTCCTCTGTCACACTGCAGATGTCCAGGTGATGCCCAGAGAGGTACAGTCACTTGCTTAACGTCACACAGTGAGCAAGTGGCCAACCCATTTTACTTATTCACTTTTGGGGGTTCTGGGAGCAAGGTCCCTTTCCACAACGGCTGCCCTAGAACTCTGCACATATGAAACTCTTAATTTAAGGAATAATTATCAACACGAAAGCCGAAACACCCCTCCCAGACTGGTCTATAAAGGTTAAACTGGGCTAGGAAGAGGATAAGCAATTTAATCAAGATCATATCACAATCCAAGTCAGGGATGGCGCATACGACCTGGTAAGGCCAAGAGCTCAGGCCCTGGAGTCAGACGGACTTGGCTTCTAACCTTGGTTCTCTCATATTCTAGCAAGTTTGAACTTCTTTGGGCCTGATTCCTCCTCTGTAAAATGAGACTATTAAGCACCTCCTAAGGGTGCCATGAGGGTTTAGTAAAATCACCCATGTCTCATGCTCAGCGTGATGCCTGGCCCGCAGTAAGCAGGAATGGACATTTGCTGTTTTATTACGATTACAGGTGGATGTGGGTCACTCTGGACTTGGATTGGGGTCTGTGCCCTGTGTGTACATGGGTGTGTTCCCCAACCCCTCACCACAGTGACGGCGTCATTGAGCAGGGACTCCCCAAAGACGAGGATATGTAGCAGCTCGTTGATGTGAATTTCCTCAAAGACAGCCAGCACGGCCACGGGGTCCACGGCCGAGATGATGCTGCCGAAGAGCAGGTTCTCCAGGAGGCCGATGTTGTTGATCTGCTCGCCACCCACCAGGCACACGGCATACATGAGGCCGCCCAGGAAGAAGGCGTTCCACAGCGTGCCCACCACGGCGAAGATCAGGATGGTGCCCAGGTTCTCTGTGAACTGCCGCAGCGGCAGGAAGTAGCCTGCGTCCAGGATGATGGGTGGCAGCAGGAAGAGGAAGAAGACGTCCGACTGTAGGATGGGGGGTGTCTCACCCACACCCTTGATCAGGCCCCCTACCAGCAGCCCCACCACGATCAGCAGGCAGCTCTCCGGGACGATGCTCGAGATTGTGGGAATCACATGGAAACCTGAGGAGGGCGAGAGAACGGGAGGCTGTGGCCTGTGGGGAGCCGGAACAGAAGGTTGGGGACAGGGCTGTGGAGGAGGAAGGAAGCTGGCCAGAGGGGTACAGGCTTGATCTCAGGGGCCGCTCTGTTAACTCTCTAATCTCAACTTCCTCGCTGTAAAACGGAGGTGATAATAGCACAGGGTTCACAGGGTTGCTGTATAAGCCAAGTGACAATGTTTTTAAAGTGCTTTTTTCAAAGGATATACAGATGCTGTCTCTGTCACTGTCATAAAATAGCAGAAAGCCGTGGCTCTGTATGCCTCCAGAAGGCAGAAATTATACATCCATCACTGAGGCTCCAAGTACAAAGGCATTACCTAGGCCTGAACCCAAGCCATCCATCATCTGGGCACAAGTTCAGGGAGGCAGGCTCAAGACCAGGCATAACAATCTGACAATTCTGTCTAAGGGAAGACAGTGAGCTCCCCATCATGAAGGCTTTAAGCTGAAGGCAGACCACAGGTTGGTGGAGAAGTGACACAGGAGATAGAGCAAAGCACAGAAGAATCAAAGCGCATCAGCGCAGGATGGAGCTTGAGGATCGTGCCCTGCAGAATGCATGCAGCGACCTCCAATCCCAGACGTGCATGCTTTCCTGCCGAGCCCAGATAGCTGCTTAAGAAGCCAACAGCAATCCATCCGTTTTGCATGTGAGACAAAACCTACTCGCCACCCTGTTCCGAGTCCAACCCCACCTACTTTAAAGAGGGGACAACTGAGGCTCAAAAAGGGGAAAGGGCTTGCCCAAGGTCACAACAGCAAATGAGTAGCAGAATCAGGACAAACTCCAGGGACAGACTCCCCAGCTCCCAATAAACTCTGCAGTTCTGTAAGTCAACCCGTCCAATTTTCTCTCCCTATCAAGGCCTGAACATGCCCCTCAGCCTGAGACACACCAACCATCTCCCCCAGCCAGGTCCTGGTCAGCCAGCAGCAGCGGGCCACTCTGCAGTGGTCCACCCAGGGCTCTAAATCCAGAGCTGGGAGGTAGCAAATGTCCCCTTCTGAGACAGCTTCTCTCAATGCCAGGTTTGGCCCCAAGTTTCCTCTGGGTTTTTGGTTTGTTTTTGGGTGGGGAGGTGAAAGAAGGCCTGGGCATCTAGCTGTATGTTGGGTACCATAACCCCAGGGTCAGCTTGGTTAAGATGGTTTGGCACTTTGCTCAAGGTAAAAAGTCTTGCTTTCCTCCCTGTAAGCTCTGAGCAGGCAGATTCCATATCTATTTATACTTATACTAGAGGCCCGGTGCACAAAAATTCGTGCACTGTTGGGGGGGGGTCCCTCAGCCCGGCCTGCCCCCTCTCACAGTCCGGGAGCCCTCAGGGGATGTCCTACTGATGCCTTAGGCCCGCTCCCGTGGGGAGGAGCCTAAGACACAGTCTGGCCCCCCTCTGCGGGAGGCAACCAGCCAATCAGGGGAAGGCGATGCCCCCATCACGCCTCTGCTGCTGCCGCTGCCGGCCGCCACAGCTGCCTGAGCCTCAGCCCTTGCAGCCACCAAGGCTTGCCTGAGCCTCGGCCCGGCCCTCGTTGCCTGAGCATCAGCCCGGCCCTCATTGCCTGAGCCTTAGGCCTTCCCAGTGGCAACCGCCATCCACGGCCTGCCTGAGTCTGGGGCAGCTTCTGGAAGGACGTCCGGAAGATGTCCGCTCTAATTAGCATGTTATCCTTTTATTAGTATAGATTCCCAGGGCTGGGGACACAGTAGATGCTCAACAAGTATCTACTGACTTGAAAATGCACAAGAGCCCTAACCGGTTTGGCTCAGTGGATAGAGCATCGGCCTGCGGACTCAAGGGTCCCAGGTTCGATTCCAGTCAAGGGCATGTACCTTGGTTGCGGGCACATCCCCAATAGGGGGTGTGCAGGAGGCAGCTGATCGATGTTTCTCTCTCATCGATGTTTCTAACTCTCTACCCCTCTCCCTTCCTCTCTGTAAAAAATCAATAAAATATATTAAGAATAAAAAAACATCTTGCCTTACAAAAAACAAAAGAAAAACGTTTAAAAAAATTGCACGAGGCTGGGCCATTACTCATGTGATTCCCAATAGCCTACCTGACCAGGTCTCTGTCTCATTACCCCTGAGGTCCTTGGGAAGGAGGAGAAACATCCCTCCCATGTCCAAAGCCCCTCCTACTCTCAGGTACTGATCTGGGAAGTGTCAGAATAGCTACAGGTCAAGACTCACACTCCAAATACTCTCTAGGCCCAGAACCTGTCACAGTGCAAAGCACCCAGGAAACATTCAAAACATGTTGGGGGAAAAGAACACATCTCCATCCTAGGCCAGGAGAGGACCCCAAAGCCATCAGGTCCTGACTTCAAAACAGACCTGACCAAAAGTCACCTCTTTTGCTAAAAAGTCCTCCAGTCTTTGCAGTGCCCACCAGTAAACCCCCAGTGTTCAGCTGGTTGGTACTGGGAAGGGTGAGGTCATATTGACTCCAAGTCTCTTGCTATACAGGTTAAAGTCAAAAACGCTCAGCACTGCCTCCATCGTTTGGTCTTGCTCATGTCCCATGCTCCCTACTGTAAATTATTACGGTTCAGCCTTGCCAAATTCTTTGTAATTCCCTCAAATAAGCCATGTCCTCTTTTTCCTGCAGATTCCAGCTTGTCTCTTCAGAACAGTTCCTGTACCTCTACCCCCACAATGTGTGGCTGACACTATAAGCTTCTGCCTGCCTCCTCCAGGAAGCATTCCCTGACCACTCCCGTCCATCCTTCTCTGATGTCTCTCATCATCTTCAATCCACAGTTGTCACTCAGCTTCCTCTCTCTCCCTGACACCCAGCAAGGACAGACAACCCATGCAAAAGAGGTGGAAACAGGACAATGGCACCACACTCCCAGAGAAGATGGGATGGCATGGAGGCTTAGGGGAGCTGAGCTCCTCCTGCAGGCAGGAGCCAGGAGTCCAGCTCTAGCTCTAGCCAGCAGACCTTGTCAGCACCCACCCCCACCTGCCCTAGAACCGAGCACCAATGGCTGCCTTAGGAGAAGGCAGACTTTAAAGAGACAGCACAGGGCAGGTGGCTGATAGCTTTCACTTCTACCTAGCAGGTCAGATCTTTAAAAGGCCCACAAAACTTTCCTGGCTCTAAGAATTGCCAGACAGTGCACTGGAGACCCAGAGAGGGGCCACAGCCCCTGGGGGGGTGGGCATGTGAAACAAGCCAAGAGCAGTAACATGACGAATGTTCCTTACTCCTAAAGGTGCACCACAGCCAGGTTCTGTGCTGGGAGCCTGGCACACAGCATGGCTTTCATGCTCACAGCAGCCCTGAGGGACAGGCACTGTCCCCATTTTGCAGAAGAGAAAGCTGGGGCTCAGCAAGAGTCGGCGGCTTCCCTGGAGTCTAAGGGAAGAGTTCTACTCTAGCTTCAAGCATCTCAAACTTGTAGCAGAGAGAGCTCATTGATCCTCACTCAGTGCGTGTGCGCTCTCTGAGCGAGGCCGGAGCTGTGCACTGGGGACACCCAGGTGGCGCAGGGTCAGAACCTTTGTGAGGAGCTCGTGGGGATCACCATGCTTTCCTCAACCTCGGGGCCTTGGCGCCACCAGGCCTCCCCCACAGGTGAAGAGAAAGAGGCATTCCGACGAGAGAAAACCTAGAGCTCAGGAGGCAGGACATGCCCGGGCCTCCCAGGACTAGGGCTCGGGCCTCCCGACTCGGACACAGTGCACCTCCTTCCAAGTAAGGCAGCTCCCAGAGTTCCTGGGGCTGGAGCCAGGTGCTCCCCCAGGTCTTCCTGTGTTGGCCCTGCCCCTTGGGAGGCCCTGCCCCTCAGGAGGAACTCCGGGACCTGACAGGCAAGGGAAGGGGAGGGCCAAACCCAGGCAGAGGATCGATGCGTGGCTCCTTGCCCACGGGAAAGCATTAAAATTTCCCAGGGGCAAGACGGTGGATTCTGTCATCAGGCACCAAGCTCAGCTTTGACTGGTCCTCTCTCCAGGCCCTGACTCCACCAGTTGACCCTATCCTGCAGGCTGAAGTGTCTCCTCAGAGTGCAGGAAACTTGCTGACACCAGGTGAGATAGCACACACTTGTGGCCGTGGTGACGTCACCAGCATGGAATCAGGGGCGGGGCAGTGTCAGTTAGAATCAAATCTGAGCTGTGAGAGCTGGAACAGACTGTGGAAAACATACAAATCCTCTATTACGTGGGTAGGGAAACCGAGACTCAAAAAGGTGTTAATGGTCATGTGAATGATTGCACCACGAGAGCCCATGAAGCTCCAAGTCCAGTGACCTCTCACACCACTTGGCTTTTCTGCAGAGGGTGCCCGGTGCTGCCAGAGCAAGGACCCGAGGCATAGAATTCAGCATTTCCGAGCCACAGGCAAACCTGCCGACACAGTTCGGCACTGGTCTCCTTTTAGGTGGAGAGACTGGGTGAGGGAAGAGATGTTTCTTTTCTTTCTTTTTTTTTGGGGGGGGGGGGGGGGGGAGGTGTTTCTTATTCTGTCCAGTACAGGTGACATAGGGCAACTGGGGATACTGAGGGAACACACACACTCACACACACTCTCGCTCTTTCTTACACACATTCACCCATAGCTCTCTCTCTTAACGACACACATACTCTCACACAGCCTCACCATGTCTTTTTCACACACCCACACTCACTCTCTGACACACTCTTACATGCACATGCACTCACCCCCACTCTTGCTCTCTTATACACATACTCTCCCTCTATTACACAGTCTCACAACCTCTCACACACTCACCCACACTCACTCTTACACACACACACACACACACTGAACAGACACTTGACCAAACCTCCCTCCGACGCTTCTCTGCTCTTCACCATGAGAACGTTTTGTTTATTTCTCCCCAGACTGTCCCCCTCTGCTGAGGCTGGTGCAGAAGCAGGCAGGCAAGGCAGCTCCATGTCATCCCTGGCTGCCAGGGTGACCGGACACCCCTGACTCCCCTTTCTGTATC